TGTGTATATGTGTGTGTGTATATATGTATATATATATATATATATATATATAGAGATAGAGTTAGTTAGTGTTTTTTTGTGTGTGTGTTTTTTTGTTTTATTTTTTTATATATATATATATATATATATATATATATATATATATATATATATATATATATATATATATATATATATATATATATATATATATATATATATATATATATATATATATATATATATTTATTTTTTTTTTTTTTTTTTTTTTTTATATATATTTATATATATATATATATATATATATATATATATATATATATATATATATATATATATATATATATATATATATATATATATATATATATATATATATATATATATATATATATATATATATATATATATAGAATACACTCTTACATCTCACACTCAAAATCTATTACTTTTTGAACTCTAATTAGTATTAACTAATGCTTAACTTTTTCTTGTATTATACAAATGTTTTGAAATTATTTTAATTTTTTAAAAATACTGATAACTAATGTTATAGTTGATACAATTATTATTTAATTTTATAACTTATTAGTTCAAAGATATTAACCAGTAAAGAATATAATTATAACTTTGTTATTTGATTTATATACATAATTTTTTAAACGAATAAACTAAAGAAAAATGATAGAAAAAAATTAACAAATTAATTTAACTGTTATATTTTTGCCAAACACACACTTAATTTAAATAATAGTAATAATAATATATTTCTATTTTTTTAATGAAATGCGAATGTGGTGTTTTTGTTTTAATTTTTGATTACTTGGTGTTTTGATTGATTTAACAAAAAGAAATTAATAATATATATACCCTAATATATATGTAAATAATAAATATAAACTTACCATAACTTAAATATAATAACCTATCAAACACACAAACAAACGGGGGTTTCATTATTTTCCCCCAAAACCGCCGCTCACATCTTACGACTTCAATCCCCGGCGAGCAGCTTAACCCCATGGGTAAGAGAGATTCACTTCACCGGAGAGAGAATCTAATCCACTAAAGATGGAGAAACCACGGCGACAGAGAAGCAGGGACGAAGAAAAGGGGATAGATCTACCCTCTCCTTCAGCGATGACAGTCGTTTTCTTACCCGAAGTTGCAGGTGCAGTTTACCTCTTTATCTTTTTAATCCAATTTCAGAATGAGGTTTGTAGCTGAGATTGATTTCAATGTGCAATTTCTAGTTGAATGGGTTTTATTTTTTATGTACATATTAACCCCTCTAGATGGTTGATTATTAGCACTATCTATTAAATAAGTAGTTATATTATTTTAGATTCTCGCAATTTGGAAGCTTATAATTACTCCCCAAAGTAATGAAGTTCAAACAAGAATTGATCCAATTATGGGACTTGTAGATGCTGTAGTAATATAGAGACAATAAATAAGAAGATTTGTAGAACAAATTCTCTATTCGTGTAACCCGTGTCCTAATAAATTAATGCATAAATCCTAAATTAAGTGTTGTTCTTGGCAGGAAAAAAAATGTAATAGAGAGGCCTCAGATGATCATCTTCCATTAATAGAAGAAGCCAGCATGTATATATGCTTATTGTTCCGTTGCACTTCTCACTTTTTAATTTCTTTCTTTCTATTTTGTATCGAAAATTGTGGGACTGCTGTGCAATTCCTTACTGCTAGTAAACTGAAAATTATTATCATGTCGGTGGTTTGAGCATATATATTACCGGACATTGTATATGATGAGAAGGTTGTGTTCTGTCAAGTGTTCATGTCAAGTGTTCTTCATTTTATTTGTTTTTTATGGTCTGAAAGAATTTAGAATTCAGATTGTTTAGTTTATTACTCTGAAATGGTGGTTTTCACTTCGATCTATGGCTTGTTGAATAGGAGTTGAAATTTCATTTTGTTTTGATTAGAAGTTGTAAATTTGTAATGTCACTTGAAATCCTTTCTATAATTCTTGTCTAATTTGGTTTCTTCTTTCGCTAATACCTAAAATTCTTAATCGTGATTATTTTTCATGTGGTTATCACAGGATGTCAGCTGTTAGGGGAGCGGTGTACAACGAAAGGTCTAGAGCGATGTGATATGTATGAAGCTACAAATACATCATTGAAATAAGATCTGTGTCGTTGGTTGTGATGTATTGTGCATTTTTGGGAGCTATTAAGGTTTATCTGAGTTATGTTTGCAATGACTGTAGATGTGAACATTGAAATATATCTGAAGGGATGTAATGTTGATATTAAGACATATTTATGTGTAATTATTTTTGTTGATATTGTTATGAATGATTTATTTTGGAGATTTATAGAATTTGAAATATTTTAATAGCAGGTTAAGAAATTCATATATAAAATTGAATAAAAGATAATTTTTACATAATAACTTTTGACGGAATGTTTGTGGCAGAGGGTTAGTGACGAATTGCGGACAACAACAATTGTTTGTGACGACATCCGTCACATATATTAGAGAGAATATTTTGTTGATTAATGACAAATTACTGATAAACAAATATTGTGTGACAGAATCCGTCACATACTTAAGCGACAAATTATTGACAGGAAATATTGTTTTGCGACGGAATCCGTCACAAATTTTATGGGAATATTTAGTTCATTAGTGGCGAACTATTGACAAACAAAAAATGTTTTTGATAGAATCCGTCATAGATTTTAGGGACCTTGGATATGGTATTTGTGACAGAATTATTTTTGTTTGTGACCAACTATTCCGTGATAAACAATGTGACGGAATTAAAATATTCGTCACAATTGCAGTTTGTGACGAGGGTTTTTCTGACAAACGTATTTTGTCATGACTCCGTCACTAAAGCTTATTTATGACAGATTTTGATCAATTTTTTGACAAAATTGGTTGTCACTGAAGCCTTGTTTTTTGGTAGTGTAATATTACTGTGCTAGAGATTAATATAGCAATATTACTGTGTTAAACTGTAGTTTAGTTAATTTTACTGTGTTTAACAGTAATATAGTTAATATTACTGTCAATCACAGCAATATTGTTGTTTAAACGAAAAAAAAAAGTTACAGAAAGAAAGAAAAGGAAAAAAAAAAAAAAAAAAAAATCGAAAAAGTCGACGCCGGAACTCGGCGAAAAAAATCCGGAAGAAAAAAAAATTTGAAAAGTCAACGCCGGAATCCGGCGGTGAAAATAGTTTTTTGAAAAAAAAATAGTTTTTTGAAAAAAAAAAGTTTTGGGTAAAAATTGAATAATTTGTGAAATTTGGGGTCCAATTGAGGTTAAATTAAGTTGAGGATGAAATTAGAGTATATTAAAGTATATGGGGTTATTTTAGTTCTTTACAAAAGTTTGAACCATGTGTGGACTTATTGATAAAGTAGATTTTTGTATGGATCTCTTTATGAATAAATACACATTAATGGGCTTATTTGTAATCACCCATTAAATTTATAAATGAAAATAAAACGAGCTGAGCCAATTTAGATATATTTCGCATGTGTAACAAAAATATTATAACAATTAATCATTTCCACACAAAAAGAAAAAGAAAATTGACAGCATTAGATATGGCCAGAAATGAATAGCACAAAAAATTATGTGCGTGAGAAAATCATTAATCTCTAGTACCGGATATATATCAAGAGAAAATGAATAAATAAATAAATATTGTTTTAATTGCGTAGCCAGACAACAATATTTTAATTGGATAATATTTTATTTTTAACAAACTTGGAAAAGTCAAAATTCCTTAAATGATTGGAATGTCCCATAGCACGAGTTGACTCTTGAGTCTTGAGTACTTGAGCGGCATGAATACAGCCATTCATTCGCCTTTTTCTTTTTCTTTTTTTATGTTCACGAAAATTCAATTGTTTATTGGTTGGAGTTTTTAAATAGAATAATACCATACTATACTATACTATCGAAATTTAATTGGCGAGAGTTTACTTATTTTTGTCCTTTTATCCAAAGACTTGTAATAATTACTACTTTTTTCTTCAATTGCCCGAGTTGGAAGTTGTCTTCATTTTGGACCTTGCAAAGTCTATATTCGTGATTTTGACGTTTCATTTAATAAAAACTTCACAGACAAATGATACCTATACTTATATATATAAATTAAGAGAAAATTGCAAACACCACCCTGTGTAATCATTAATTGCTAAAAAGGTCTTTGTGTTATAAAATTAACAAAAATCCCCCTATGATTAAAAGTCAAAGGAGAAAAAGTCCATTAAAACTGCTCGTGGTACTCACGCGCGGGTTGTGCGGTTCTTTTTGAAAATTTTGGGGTATAATAACATAAACACCCTTTTATACATATAAATAAAAAATTGTATGTTAAATTTGATGAAATTATAAATAATTCAAATTCAAAGGACCAAATAACAATTTTTAAAATCTTAAATCCTAATCATCTTCTTCTCCCTCTCACCCTCTCAACGCCCCCCTTGGGAAAAAAAAATCCAGCACCTAATTCTCTTCTTCCCCAAATTTTTTGGATCTCAAAACAGCAAAGGCAACAACCACGGTCACTACTGCCGCCCGGAGCCGCCCCTAATTCTCTTAAATCCTCTAGCTCTGTCGAAGCCGGCAACCACACAAAACAGTGGAGGAGAAGAGCAAGGTATCTGAGCTAATAAAAAAATTATATAGGGAGGTTTTTGCTAATTTTTATAACACAAGGACTTTTGTAGCAATTGAGGATTACATAGGGGTAGTTTTTGCAATTTACTCGTAAATTAATAACAAATTTAAATGAATACTAAAAGTCAGTAAAGGGGTGCGCGACCGCACACTTTTAAGTATTTTCAACTATTTGTAAAACAATAACTTAAACCAATAAATAAGTAGTACTTGTCACTTTTGCCATTTTTTCATATTTCAAATTATTTGTCATTTTACTATTCCAATGAATAATTAATTGCAATCTTTCAATTTTGCCCTTCCTCACTCATAATTAATTGAAATATAATTATTTAAAATTAATTAATGGCATGAACATTTTAGTGATTTACTATACTTTTTGCTACTATCTATGCATATTTATTGAGTTTCTTAATATGTGTGCAACAAACAAAAGTGACAACTATTAAGGGAAGAAGGGAGTAATGTTTAAACATCCAATAATAAAATAAACAAAATTTCATCATTCGATCACCTATACAAATTACCAGATTTGTTTCAATACAAAATGAATTTTTATTTATTTAAAAAGAAAAAAGAAAACAAAGAAATCCTGTTTTGAATAGGGTCAATTTGAGTTGGCAGGTAAATCAGGAAGCAGAACAATCAAAATTGTCGTGTAATGCCACGTAGAATATGAGAGTGCCACGTAATAACAGAGCCACGTGCCAGCCATACACATACCGTGGCCCCCGTTTCATGCAAAACAAGCCTCCACGCTTTTGCATTATAAATTAGGGCGAATTGCCAGATTCCATGTATTATTAGACTCTAACTTTATCAATATTATACATTGACCCTGAATTTAACAAATATATTATATTAACCCTTACTTTAATAATTTTTGGAAAATATATTTTTTTTTCAGAAAATAATATTTCTTCTGATTTTTTTTTGTCATGCTAGATTTTGGGGTAGATTTTTTTTTTTGAAATTTTATTTTTCTGAAATTTTTTGCCGGCTAGTCTCCGGTGTTGACTTTTTTTTTATATTTATAGAAATTTCTCTTTGGGATTACAGTGTTAACAACAAAATTATTGTCTGAAATAGTAATATTGAATACCAAAGCAGTAATATTACTCATATTACTGTCCCAAACAGTAATATTATGAATATTACTTTCCCGGACAATAATATTACTAATATTACTATTCCAAACAATAATATTACTAATATTGCTGTTTTGAATAGTAATATTATTGTATGGGATAGTAATATCACGGTCGGAGACAGTAATATTAAAGTCGAAGACAACGGAATTGCAGGCCAAGACGATAAAATTAATTAATTCAGTAAAATTACTGTCTCAGACAGTAATATTATTGTCTGGAACAGTAATATTATGAATATTACTTTCCCGAACAGTAATATTACTAATATTATTATCCTAAACAATAATATTATTGCATGAGACAGTAATATTACTAATATTATTGTCCTAAACAATAATATTATTGCATGAGACAGTAATATTACGGTCGAAGACAGTTATATTATGGTCGAACACAGTAATACAGTAAAATTACTGTCTCCCACAATAATATTACTGTCTCAGACAGTTAAATTACTGCCTTAGACAGTTAAATTATTGTTGGATATAGTAATTTAGCATCCATTAATATTAATTAAAATATTTTTTTTTACGAAAAAACAAGTTAAAAAAGATATAATCAAAGGTGGTTGACCTACCAAAAAAAAGACAGGAAAAAAAAAAGTTAAAAAAAAAAGTAAATGCCGGAGATCGGCAATTTACCTACCGGAAAAAAAAAAAATCAACGACGGCTGACCGACGGTAGCAGGTCAAAATTAGTTAATTTGTGAAATTGGGCTAAATTAAGGTTTACATCATGAAATTGAAATTAATAGCATTTCAAGAAATTAGGGGATAATTTATGACATATATGAAAAGGTTTTTCTTATTTGTAAATAAATTAAAATGAACTGAAATTATTTTGAAAACAACAAAATTAGATGTCCCTTTCTTAATTTGAATGTCGTTATTATGGGCATATTTGTCATTTACACTATAAATTAATAACAAAATCGCGATTTACCCGCAACGCCCCTTCCATGCCATTCTTATCTCACTTCAAATTATAATTTCTCCGCTAAATTATTTTTCCCGGCCACCATATATTCCTATAAATTTGAACTAAAACAATCACTAGTCACAACACTCAATTTATCATTTGTATTCACATTAAGACTTGATCAATTCAAGAGATCATTCAGATTTCACTATGACTTCTCCGAAATCTATTTTAATCATCTTCTTCATCATCCTATCCAATTTTTCGGTCCAAGTCGTGTCAGTGGTTGAGGAATGCGGCGCCGAAGAAGATGACGGCTGCACAAACAAGAAGAAGGCTTTGCCGCTCAAAATAATCGCCATCGTAACAATCCTAATCAGCAGCATAATCGGAGTCTGCTTGCCACTTGTCACACAGTCAATTCCGGCTCTCAGCCCGGAGCGAAGCCTCTTCGTCATAGTCAAAGCCTTCGCCTCCGGGATTATTCTAGCCACGGGTTTCATGCACGTGTTGCCCGATTCTTTCGACATGTTGTCCTCCACCTGTTTGAAAGATAACCCGTGGCACAAATTCCCATTCACCGGATTCGTGGCTATGATCTCCG